TGCAGGAAATTTGGAATAAAAGCTCAGAAATATAGGACATGAAAGGGATCAGTCTCTTTCTTTTCCTGGCAAATCATTTGCGCAGAGGATCTGAGGAAAAGGAGTGACTGCTCACGGTCTAATAGGTCACAAATCCCTGAAGAGAGATGTCTGTACAAGAGGCCACCCAGTGAAGGATGATAACTTTTATTGTAACAGCAGTTCAATAGGTTACTTGTTTGCAAAATAACTGATTCAATTCAGGAAAGTAAACAATAGATAATAATACCATATTAAATGGGTAATTATTTGTATAGAGTTGTGGGTAGTATCATGCTTACTTGTAATTTTAAAACATTTTGACCTGTCTATGATTCACCGAAACACAGCAACGTCAAGTCATAAAAATGAATAATCAATATTTGTAGTACACACTGCCACATTGAATAAGATGTCTAATAAGTTATAAATATATAAATTAGTACATAGATAATGACTTACATTAAAATAATTATCACCAGCATACTTTATGTGAAAATAACCAAGTGGGACGAAGGTAATTTAATGTTCTTTAAAAATTAAATTAAGATAATTATTATGTTAAGTTAATATTACGTTCTATAATAACTTAAAATGTATGAATTATGGATCCCTTAATGCTGTGAGGTGCTGATAATTAATTTAGCAAAAGTAACTCCATTGGCATCAAAGCCATGCAGTTAGACAAACACAAAATATACCTCTGCACTCTCACAATCATGGAAAATTGATAGCTGTTTAAGGCCTAGATGTTTAAAGTGGGATTGAGCCGTAAATTATAGGAATTATCTTAGTAAGTCAAGAGTGAGATGCCCACCTTCTAACTCCTGCACAGCCAACTTATCATTCTGCACAATGTTGTGTCACAACTGAGGAACCAGAGGGACTGCTTGAAGTCTAACAACCTAACCCAGATAAGTGTGCAGTCTTAAATGTAGTTTCATCAGGTTTTTAATGTAACTGTGAACAATATATCTTTGGAGTGGTTTTTCAATTGAGTATTGAGAGTAATTCACATTTGCCTTGGTTTGCATTACTATGCTACATGATTGGCTTTCACATCCAATTACAGTAAAAGGAAAATCAAAACCAAGCATGGCTTGCTCATACAGAAAATATAATGTTTACCTGTACTTCCCATCAGCTAGATGTGCTCACTTCAGGTTTTGTTGGGTTCTGTGGATTGTCTGGGCCCTTTGTGATTGGCCAGAGTAGTATTACTTAAAATGGTTTTTGCTTTATGACACACAACATCAATATTGAAAACTGCTCTAATCTGGAATAGCAATACAGGGGTGCTTACCATTTACAAAAACCATCTGGTTGGAAGTTTCAGGCATAAACATTAAACAATTAAATGCGATGTTGCGTGAGAGGGAATCGCTATAAAGTATATGCACATCAGCTAGAGAGACTTAAAAGAGCAGAAAAATAGCATCTCAAATCACAGCCCATATTTTCTGAAGCTTCCCAATTGTAATAGCGCGAACCATTTGATTTTCCAACTGGAATTTCCGGTTTTCCCATGTAAATGGTAAGTACCCCAGTTGTCATCTTTCAAGCAGTCAAGCTCTGAGTGGAAGACTCACAACGTCGAAACATACTGGAATGCACATACTGGAATGTGTAAACTTTGATTAGCATCATACGCTACAATTTCAAGTTCATTTGTACAAGGTTGACCATCTGAAGCACTGTCAGCTGCTGCAACTTTCTCTTTCTTAGCATCATATGCAAACCACCATGACGCCCACACAGAGTCTGACACGAGAATCCCAAGGTGAATGATGATCAGTGGAAGACTAATGATGCCTTGTTCAGCGTGGGTAAATGGAAGGTACCCGGCAATCGTCAATGCAACTGCTAAGGATTTCTGACTGGCCATTATCATGACTGACTTCAACGCAGGTCTATCCGGTTTGAGAATGAGGCATGGAGGATATATGACAATGATAAAGAGCAGATGCATTGCTAAACCCCATCCAAGCACAGCAAAAATGCTTCCAACAGAGATTGCGCCAAAGGCTTTTTGCTTACTTGCTTGACTGACCTTCAACCATGGAATCATTGTTAACAGTATGATGCTTATCACCTTAAGTGTGTTGGAGAATTTCTTGATGCAAGGCTTCACATGAGGCACATACCTTAGCCCTTTGCCAACCTGTAAAAAGGAAACAGAAATTACAGTTAAACCTCCACTAATGGCCTCTACAACCTCTCTACAGTGGCCACTTTTTTTGGTCCCATAGGACAGTCCATACATTTTTACTCTTATTTGAATCTCTTTACAATGACCAGCTCTCCACAACAGCAACGGCCTCTAAACCTTGTCCCAACTACTAAAATAACCTCTTGAAAATGGCCAGTCAATCAATGACTGACAAAGGGTTTATACAAAACCTTATTTTTCTTATTGTAAAAGGTAAAAAATAACACACACACACATGTTGCACCCCCAAAAGAAAACAGGTGTCATGTTAAATTTTTCATTTCTTCGATGAAACTTACCAGTAAAGGTAGCAGCACAGTTAATACCAGCTTAATCAACAGTTTCACAGGATCTAACTTTACATTCTCAAAAGCTATTATCCAAGACACAAGTGGCGGAACAGTAAACACGGCAGCCAAATTACAAACCACTGTAAGCATTACAGACAAAGCTACTGCACCTCCTGCTTGGGCTGTCTGTTGGAAAAAAAGAACACTGATTACCCCTATCTGCAACTTCCTTTTACAGCACCATTTCAAATTAAGTGAGAGAGTTATGAGCATATTAAGGGACCTACAATATGGAATAACCTGACAAAGAAGCTTAGAATTGCTATTTTTTTCCTAATTCCTGTGATCATTGTGGAATAACTGACAAATTAACGACAAGTTGCTATCATTCAGTGAAACTGTGGCTTGTTATCTGGGAGAGGGAGTTGACAGCTTTCTGATGTACACAGTCTTGAATCTAAACTAATCACTGGGCTTTGGGGAGAATTACCAGGATCAAATTCATTTTCCTTCATTTTAATGAAATTATTTTCGAGCTTGCCTAGTGTTTTCTTTTGAATATAAGATAAGTCTACTAAGAAACGAAACATGGTCAGACTGTTTGGTGCAAACCTTCATAGCCACCTCTGCTGGAAGGGAAGGAAGGGAAGCAAAGGTGAAGGGTCTCAGATGCCAATATTTGTAAAGACAGATCTAGCATGGTTGCCACAGAACTCACTTTTGAAAATTCCTTGACTTTTCCCTGATAAAAATACAATTTCCCTGATCACATGGATTCAAAATGCCAGACTGATCTAGTAGCGGCTTCTAGCATGAACATACAGCACTGCTTTTGACTCATTCATTACGATGGATAGGCTTTTAATAAATTTTCCTTCTTCATTAAGAAAAAATATCATTTATTTCACAGTAACCGCAAATGTTTCTTCCAGCCTTCTGTGGTATTCAATCAGCTTTGCTAAACTATTTCAATTTCCCCTGACTTTTCTTCAAAGTGTCAATTTTCCCTGACTCAAAATAAAATTCTGGAACTTCTCCCTGACCTTGATTAATTTTTTTCCTGACCATTTCCTGACCTGTGGCAACCCTGTCTAGGGTACCCTGGGTGCCAGAGGGTTTTTGTTTTTTCGTGGTGAAGCCGCTTAGTGAGTGGCGAATCCGTACAAGATTGTGATCTCGATCATGATCTCCATCACGATCTCGATCACTAAGTGGCTTCACCACCAAAAAACCTCTCTGGCACCCAGGGTAGATCCAGGGGAGCTGGGTGTTCAAACCCAAAAAACCTTCATGTGAATCCTCACAAAACCTAACTATGCAGTTGGTGGAGTGATAGCTGGATTCTCAGACAATCCACAAGGAGGCTTGCTCTCAATCCCTCCTCTCTAAGAGGAGGAGGAAGTGGCAGCGAGCGACCTTGGACCATCTGAGAATCAGGCTATGGAGATGAAAGAAGTCATCTGGGGATCGAATCCTTGAACATGTGGTTTCTCCGGTCTTCCCGGACTTCGATCCCCAGCTCTTAGACAACAAACCTAATTATCACAGTGTCATCTAACTATCTATGATTATCTCACCAATATAACTCCACCAGCAATCGTGCACGGTACAATGAAGTAAACCTGCATTCCTGTTTGAAATAACGCCGGTCCAAGAATCGAGCTACCCTCAAAGTTATTTCCATCCGGCGAAGAAGTGCTGTTCGTCGAATTGCCACCAAGATGCTTTGTCACGGAGTAAGGTAACAAACCGGTTAGTTGTCCGCCGATTATCGGCGTAATCAACAAAATACAAACGATTCCCCAGATGAGGGCTTTGATAGATTTGAACGCTTCCTTCAACTCGCCGGTTTTCAGTTTAAGACCGCTATGAAAGAAGATTCCCACAACACAGACATACTGTGTTGGCAATTCGCTAAAGAAAACTCCTGGTTGGGGAACTAAAATTCCAAAAATTAGAAAGAATATCAAGGAAATGGGTAAAAAATTCTTTAACACCACAGCTTTTGCCCTTCTCCATAATGGTTCGCGCTGTTCAGTGGTTTCTGCGGGAGAACCGTCACTTTCTGCCATGAGCGCCATTGAAACTTTTCAACGTTATGACGTAATATCCGCAACCAGACCGTCATCACGGATACGAATGTGTGACATGCATGTGAGCATGATGTCACACAAACACCGGGATTGCGTAAGACACGTTTTGCAACGACCCATAAAATTCTTGATTTCAATTGTGCAACTGAGAAGCGTCTTGTTTTCAAGGTGGATTCCCCACCCCCTTTTCTGGGTGAGACATGGAGAAAACCCGATACTCCTCTTTGCAATTCTCTGCTGGGTTCGTTTGATGAGCGATGAAATCCGCCGCTCTCTCGTTTCAGGTCTCCTCGAGGTCTCCTCCCCGAGAGAGTGCGGGGAGGAGTGCGGGCTCCTTTCCCGAACAACGGCTGGTAATCACCTAGACCGTAAATTTTTTCTTTCCACAAAATACCCTACACGGTCAAAACGGCGAAAGCTGTCCAAAATGTTTTGGTCTGAGTTGGTCTTCTCTCACTCACAGTTTCTCTCGCACATAGTTTCTCTTATACATTNTATCTCACCAATATAACTCCACCAGCAATCGTGCACGGTACAATGAAGTAAACCTGCATTCCTGTTCGAAATAACGCCGGTCCAAGAATCGAGTTACCCTCAAAGTTATTTCCATCCGGCGAAGAAGTGTTATACGTCGAATTGCCGCCATGATGCTTTGTCACGGAGTACGGTAACAAACCGGTTAGTTGTCCGCCGATTATCGGCGTAATCAACAAAATACAAACGATTCCCCAGATGAGGGCCTTGATAGATTTGAACGCTTCCTTCAACTCGCCGGTTTTTTAGTTTAAGGCCGCTATGAAAGAAGACTCCCACAACACAGACATACTGTGTTGGCAATTCGCCAAAGAAAACTCCTGGTTCGGGAACTAAAATTCCAAAAATTAGAAAGAACATCAGGGAAATGGGTAAAAAGTTCTGTAACACCACAGCTTTTGACCTTCTCCATAACGGTTCGCGCTGTTTAGTGGTTTCTGCGTGAGAACCGTCACTTTCTGCCATGAGCGCCATTGAAATTTTTCAATGTTATGACTTAATATCCGCAACCAGACCATAACACGGATACGAATGTGTGAATATGCATGTGAGCATGATATTACACAACACCGGGATTGCATAAGATACGTTTTGCAGCGACCCATAAAATTCTTGACTTCAATTGTGCAAGAAGTGTCTTGTTTTCAAGGTACATTCCCCGCTCCTCCCCGAGAGAGTGCGGGGAGGAGTGCGGGCGCCGTAATCACCTACACCGCAAATTTTTCTTTCCACAAAATACCCTACACAGTCAAAATGGTAAAAGCTATACAAAATGCTTTGGTCTGAGTTGGTCTTCTCTCACTCACAGTTTCTCTTACACATAGTTTCTCTTACACATTTGATTTTACTAATTCCCCTTTCCCTTCTTTCTGAGTCGATTCTGAGAATAAGCAGGGCAGGGGAACGAGCTAAATTCTCTTAAGGAGGGATCCTTAAAGTACCCTAAGTTGCTTACGCTATTCAAGAGCCTGGGTCTGAAAACGGTAAGGGGAAAATCGCATATTTTGCTCAAGTTTTGACATCGAATTTTCACAAAGCTTCCTAAAATCGATTGTTAAAAACACAATTATTTCAATTAAACTATCGAGAAATGCTCATAAATTAAGTAACACCATCTCGGTAGCCACATGTTGCTCTGCGCGTGCAATCAAAGCTCCTTCGGGACTTTTTCAGAAGCTCTTACGACGTCCTCGAACGTTGCAGGACAGTCTTGGGCAGGCTCGTAAGTCATCGGCGTATTTTCGAAATCATCGGATATAAGTTCGATTCCTTAACTTAATTTATGGTTTCCTGTTTTCTATTTTTACTGTGTGAAGTAACCTCATTAGTGTAATTTTTACCCTTTTTACTTACTTTATATTGTGAAGCGCATTTGAACATTACCTTATGGAATTTGCGCTATATAAATATATTGTATGTTTCTTTTAGAAAATGAANAATCATCGGATATAAGTTCGATTCCTTAACTTAATTTATGGTTTCCTGTTTTCTATTTTTACTGTGTGAATTAACCTCATTAGTGTAATTTTTACCCTTTTTACTTACTTTATATTGTGAAGCGCATTTGAACATTACCTTATGGAATTTGCGCTATATAAATATATTGTATGTTTCTTTTAGAAAATGAATTTTACACAGCTGCCCACTTGTTGCTGTGTAAAAGAGAAAGAAAAGAAAGTGTAAAAGTACATCGGTGCCATGTGGCAAATGTGCTCTAATGTCATTGTCCATTTTGGAGAAATCTATATACAGACGACGACACACTGACGATGTTAACTACATAATTTGGGAAGGTTGTGTGAGTTTCGTCTGAAAAAAAGAAGAAGAAGAAGAAGAAAAAAAAAAACTACACAAAAAAACAACAACGACGACAAAAACAACAAGAACATACCGATCAAGGCCAACATAAGATCTATGATCTGAGCGTCGTTCAGGAACCGTGTTCCAAGCAAACTTCACTGACAGGAAGAATTCCGAATCCTGGCCAAAATTCATGACCTCTGCCAGGGCGGTGGTCAGCTCTTGGTCCGATGTGTGATGCGGAGAAGGACTGGCACGAGCGCTCCTTCCGCGCTTCCGGTGCCAAAACTAGAACAAAAAAATAAGAGAACCTGGGAACGAGGGTGTCTCAAAAAATCTTAAAAAAAAAAAAAAAAAAAAAANTATTTTCTGAAGCTTCCCAATTGTAATAGCGCGAACCATTTGATTTTCCAACTGGAATTTCCGGTTTTCCCATGTAAATGGTAAGTACCCCAGTTGTCATCTTTCAAGCAGTCAAGCTCTGAGTGGAAGACTCACAACGTCGAAACATACTGGAATGCACATACTGGAATGTGTAAACTTTGATTAGCATCATACGCTACAATTTCAAGTTCATTTGTACAAGGTTGACCATCTGAAGCACTGTCAGCTGCTGCAACTTTCTCTTTCTTAGCATCATATGCAAACCACCATGACGCCCACACAGAGTCTGACACGAGAATCCCAAGGTGAATGATGATCAGTGGAAGACTAATGATGCCTTGTTCAGCGTGGGTAAATGGAAGGTACCCGGCAATCGTCAATGCAACTGCTAAGGATTTCTGACTGGCCATTATCATGACTGACTTCAACGCAGGTCTATCCGGTTTGAGAATGAGGCATGGAGGATATATGACAATGATAAAGAGCAGATGCATTGCTAAACCCCATCCAAGCACAGCAAAAATGCTTCCAACAGAGATTGCGCCAAAGGCTTTTTGCTTACTTGCTTGACTGACCTTCAACCATGGAATCATTGTTAACAGTATGATGCTTATCACCTTAAGTGTGTTGGAGAATTTCTTGATGCAAGGCTTCACATGAGGCACATACCTTAGCCCTTTGCCAACCTGTAAAAAGGAAACAGAAATTACAGTTAAACCTCCACTAATGGCCTCTACAACCTCTCTACAGTGGCCACTTTTTTTGGTCCCATAGGACAGTCCATACATTTTTACTCTTATTTGAATCTCTTTACAATGACCAGCTCTCCACAACAGCAACGGCCTCTAAACCTTGTCCCAACTACTAAAATAACCTCTTGAAAATGGCCAGTCAATCAATGACTGACAAAGGGTTTATACAAAACCTTATTTTTCTTATTGTAAAAGGTAAAAAATAACACACACACACATGTTGCACCCCCAAAAGAAAACAGGTGTCATGTTAAATTTTTCATTTCTTCGATGAAACTTACCAGTAAAGGTAGCAGCACAGTTAATACCAGCTTAATCAACAGTTTCACAGGATCTAACTTTACATTCTCAAAAGCTATTATCCAAGACACAAGTGGCGGAACAGTAAACACGGCAGCCAAATTACAAACCACTGTAAGCATTACAGACAAAGCTACTGCACCTCCTGCTTGGGCTGTCTGTTGGAAAAAAAGAACACTGATTACCCCTATCTGCAACTTCCTTTTACAGCACCATTTCAAATTAAGTGAGAGAGTTATGAGCATATTAAGGGACCTACAATATGGAATAACCTGACAAAGAAGCTTAGAATTGCTATTTTTTTCCTAATTCCTGTGATCATTGTGGAATAACTGACAAATTAACGACAAGTTGCTATCATTCAGTGAAACTGTGGCTTGTTATCTGGGAGAGGGAGTTGACAGCTTTCTGATGTACACAGTCTTGAATCTAAACTAATCACTGGGCTTTGGGGAGAATTACCAGGATCAAATTCATTTTCCTTCATTTTAATGAAATTATTTTCGAGCTTGCCTAGTGTTTTCTTTTGAATATAAGATAAGTCTACTAAGAAACGAAACATGGTCAGACTGTTTGGTGCAAACCTTCATAGCCACCTCTGCTGGAAGGGAAGGAAGGGAAGCAAAGGTGAAGGGTCTCAGATGCCAATATTTGTAAAGACAGATCTAGCATGGTTGCCACAGAACTCACTTTTGAAAATTCCTTGACTTTTCCCTGATAAAAATACAATTTCCCTGATCACATGGATTCAAAATGCCAGACTGATCTAGTAGCGGCTTCTAGCATGAACATACAGCACTGCTTTTGACTCATTCATTACGATGGATAGGCTTTTAATAAATTTTCCTTCTTCATTAAGAAAAAATATCATTTATTTCACAGTAACCGCAAATGTTTCTTCCAGCCTTCTGTGGTATTCAATCAGCTTTGCTAAACTATTTCAATTTCCCCTGACTTTTCTTCAAAGTGTCAATTTTCCCTGACTCAAAATAAAATTCTGGAACTTCTCCCTGACCTTGATTAATTTTTTTCCTGACCATTTCCTGACCTGTGGCAACCCTGTCTAGGGTACCCTGGGTGCCAGAGGGTTTTTGTTTTTTCGTGGTGAAGCCGCTTAGTGAGTGGCGAATCCGTACAAGATTGTGATCTCGATCATGATCTCCATCACGATCTCGATCACTAAGTGGCTTCACCACCAAAAAACCTCTCTGGCACCCAGGGTAGATCCAGGGGAGCTGGGTGTTCAAACCCAAAAAACCTTCATGTGAATCCTCACAAAACCTAACTATGCAGTTGGTGGAGTGATAGCTGGATTCTCAGACAATCCACAAGGAGGCTTGCTCTCAATCCCTCCTCTCTAAGAGGAGGAGGAAGTGGCAGCGAGCGACCTTGGACCATCTGAGAATCAGGCTATGGAGATGAAAGAAGTCATCTGGGGATCGAATCCTTGAACATGTGGTTTCTCCGGTCTTCCCGGACTTCGATCCCCAGCTCTTAGACAACAAACCTAATTATCACAGTGTCATCTAACTATCTATGATTATCTCACCAATATAACTCCACCAGCAATCGTGCACGGTACAATGAAGTAAACCTGCATTCCTGTTTGAAATAACGCCGGTCCAAGAATCGAGCTACCCTCAAAGTTATTTCCATCCGGCGAAGAAGTGCTGTTCGTCGAATTGCCACCAAGATGCTTTGTCACGGAGTAAGGTAACAAACCGGTTAGTTGTCCGCCGATTATCGGCGTAATCAACAAAATACAAACGATTCCCCAGATGAGGGCTTTGATAGATTTGAACGCTTCCTTCAACTCGCCGGTTTTCAGTTTAAGACCGCTATGAAAGAAGATTCCCACAACACAGACATACTGTGTTGGCAATTCGCTAAAGAAAACTCCTGGTTGGGGAACTAAAATTCCAAAAATTAGAAAGAATATCAAGGAAATGGGTAAAAAATTCTTTAACACCACAGCTTTTGCCCTTCTCCATAATGGTTCGCGCTGTTCAGTGGTTTCTGCGGGAGAACCGTCACTTTCTGCCATGAGCGCCATTGAAACTTTTCAACGTTATGACGTAATATCCGCAACCAGACCGTCATCACGGATACGAATGTGTGACATGCATGTGAGCATGATGTCACACAAACACCGGGATTGCGTAAGACACGTTTTGCAACGACCCATAAAATTCTTGATTTCAATTGTGCAACTGAGAAGCGTCTTGTTTTCAAGGTGGATTCCCCACCCCCTTTTCTGGGTGAGACATGGAGAAAACCCGATACTCCTCTTTGCAATTCTCTGCTGGGTTCGTTTGATGAGCGATGAAATCCGCCGCTCTCTCGTTTCAGGTCTCCTCGAGGTCTCCTCCCCGAGAGAGTGCGGGGAGGAGTGCGGGCTCCTTTCCCGAACAACGGCTGGTAATCACCTAGACCGTAAATTTTTTCTTTCCACAAAATACCCTACACGGTCAAAACGGCGAAAGCTGTCCAAAATGTTTTGGTCTGAGTTGGTCTTCTCTCACTCACAGTTTCTCTCGCACATAGTTTCTCTTATACATTTAATTTTGCTAATTTCCCTTTCCCTTCTTTCTGAGTCGATTCTGAGAGTAAGCAGGAAAGGGGAACCAGCTAAATTCTCTGAAGGAGGGATCCTTAAAGTACCCTAAGTTGCTTACGCTATTCAAGAGCCTGGGTCTGAAAACGGTAAGGGGAAAATCGCATAAAAATATTTTGCTCAGGTTTTGACATCGAATTTTCACAAAGCTTCCTAAAATCGATTGTTTATAACACAATTATCTAAATTAAACTATCGAGAAATGCTCATAAATTAAGTAACACCATCTCGGTAGCCACATGTTGCTCTGCGCGCGCAATCAAAGCTCCTTCGGGACTTTTTCGGAAGTTCTTGCGACGTCTTCGAACGTTCCAGGACAGTCTTGGGGAGGCTCGTAAGTCATCGCCGTATTTTGGAAAATTATCGGATATAAATTCGATTCCTTAACTTAATTTATTGTTTCCTGTTTTCCCTTTTTACTGTGTGAATTTACCTCATTAGTGTAATTTTACCCTTTTTACTTACTTTATATTGTGAAGCGCATTTGAACATTACTTTATGGAATTTGCGCTATATAAATATATTATATGTTTTCTTTTAAGAAAGTGAATTTTAAACAGTTGCCCACTTGTTGCTGTGTAAAAAAGAAAAGAAAGTGTAAAAGTTCATCGGTACCATCTGGCAAATGTGCTCTAATGTCATTGTCCATTTGGGAGAAATCTATATACAGACGGCAGCACACTGACAATGGTAACTACATAATTTGAAAAACGATGCGAAGGCTGTGTGAGTTTCGCCGAAAAAAAAAAAAAAAAAAAAAATAGACAAAAAACAACGAAGACAACAACAACGACAACAACAACATACCGACCAAGGCCAACATAAGATCTATGATCTGAGGGTCGTTCAGGAACCGTCTTCCAAACAAACATCACTGACAGGAAGAATTCCGAATCCGGGCCAAAATTCATGACCTCTGCCAGGGCGGTGGTCAGCTCTTGGTCCGATATGTGATGCGGAGAAAGACTGGCACGAGCGCTCCTTCCGTGCTTCCGGTGCCAAAACTGGAAAATCTTCAGAAAAAAGAGACCCTGGGAATGAGAGTCACTCAAAAAATCTTTAAAAAAATTAACCCTCGGAACGAGGGTGTCTCATAAAATCTTCAAACACAAAAAAAGAGAGACCCTGGGAATGAGGTTGAGAAATAAACAGCTCTGATATGTTAGAATGGAATTAGTTAGTCACGACACGTGTCAAGAGTCATTACTTGGTTTCTACACACTACTCCGGCACGAGTTCAATAGAAATAACGAGCTCTGATTCGTTAGAATGGAATTAGTTAGTCACAGCATAACTCCGACACGTGTCTGGAGTCCATTACTTGGTACTACACACTACTCCGTCACGTGCTCAATAGAAATAACGAGTTCTGATTCGTTAGAATGGAATTAGTTAGTCACAGCATAACTCCGACACGTGTCTGGAGTCCATTACTTGGTACTACACACTACTCCGGCACGTGCTCAGTAGAAATAACGAGCTCTGATTATTCACAGAATGAGTAAGAGAATGACTTCAGTAATACGCATTTTCAATCAAATCTAATCAAGCGCGAACAGTTGCTGTCAGTGTGAGTTTGCTCTTTGGCTGTGTACCTAAAGCTCGGCTTTCTTCGTCAAAAATGGGAGCACGGACAACGAAAATGGAGTGCAGAAAAACACAAGGGAATCACCTTGGCGGCTGGCGCCAGAAGAGTCCATTGAAAATGGCAAAGAAAAAGAAAGAAAAGCCTGGTGAAGAAGGTGTTGAACTCAATTTCCAAGGCAACGAGGAGGCAAAGCCGAAGAAAAAAACCCTTCAGGAATTACATATGGATCCACCGCCCGCATTCAGAAAGTTCGAGTCCGAAGTGGATTGGCAAAATATGGATCATGATATTGCTTTACAGCTGTGGGAGGATGTTTTCAAGCCGCTGTATACTTTTTGTGAAGTTCGACGCATCTCAGACCGGCCGTCAGTAAGTTAGCTGGTAAATGTGACCCACAAAGTAAAAACGGAACTTCGGCCCGTTTGTCATGTTTGTTTTTCAGTACTGTATTTTTTAATAACTCATCATGTAAATCAAACGCTACACTTAGATTTAATGTTTATCGATCGTTCCTCATCCTAATTAGCTTTTTTTTTCTTAGATCGAGCAATCTGAATCAGTTCATAGCCGAGTTTAATGATAAATGTTCATACACTTCAGTAATAAATTTATTACCTGAGTTCATGATTTGCGCTGACGAGGAATTCAATTCCTGTAGATACATCAGGTCAGCTACATCACAGATCAGTTTTGCCGGTTTCTTTATTTGCTCCTACGGAACAAAATGTCCACGAGGAATCGAATTCATTTCACAAAAAATGAGTGGCACAATAACTGAACTATTACGTAACTAGCAATAGGCCAGTTTCGAATTATTACAAATCCTACACAATCGCTCCAAGGAGAAAAACAACGCAACAAAAAGATTTGTATTGTTCACTTGTGTTCGACAAGAACATTCCCGAATCTGAATTCATGGATTTTTGTACATGCGTTTGGAATTGGGGTTCGACATTGCTCAATTCACTGCAGGAAAGTCCGCACAAGTTGCGAGAGTGATGAATCAGATGAAGATCCAAATTATGGGAATACGTGAGTGCCGATGGATAGGAGCAGGTAGAATGAAATTGAGTTCAGGTGAAACAGTACTGTACTCATGTCGAGATGACGATCAACACATGCAAGGCGTGGCGATAATGATGACACCAGAGGCAACAAAGGCTCTAATTGACTGGTCACCAATTAATGAGAGAATGATAAAGGCAAGATTCTACTCTAAGTTTGTCAAATCTTAACCTCTGTTGTCCTTCTTCGATGGCGTAATCTGAATAGGCTACTCGAGGCGCTCGCTCGTTGCTATGTGACGTCACACTGGTAGCGATGAGTCTGTCACGAATTAATACTGGAAAACAATAGAGTCACCCCCTCCCTCCTGATCATTATCGATAAGAACATCAACAAAAGCCCTTCATAAATTATGTTTAGAGCAACTGTGCCAGCCGCAACGGCCATAAATAGGGTATCGAATGTTTGGTCAGGTCACAAATAGGGTGCCATTGTACTGCTCATTAAACCTCTTGTCGTGTCTTGTCAGTTAGCGACGTTAATGCCGATGTGGTTTTCTTTTGTAAGGGAGTAAAGATCCCTATTTACTACATAACGGTACATTGTAGATTTCACACTTACCTATCAAGTTAGGCACAAAGAAATAAACCTTCCGCATGTTTGATGATAACTCAACACCCCCAACACGTCCCTGTGATGTGCCAGCAAGGAAATTAAAGAGGCTGATTGTGAACTGTAGTCAGATAATGCAGCTTAGGTTTACGTGTCACACAAGGAGACGCCGCTCTCCGACAATAGAACACACTTAATTATAAAAGCTTCTACTCGCATATATTGTTTTTGTCATTTAAATGAACAACAATTTGATCAAAGAACTCTTTGATTCACCTCTTGTGACAGTTCTTTGGTTGGAAGATCAATATCCTGTCAATAACGAAGACAGACGTCATTGCAATGTTCCCTATGGTGAGGACCTCTTAAAACTAATTCACTTTCTTTCGTTTTTATATTACTGACAGCATCAACCGAATATAGTTTACAGAAAATAAACTTGACCCTGCTCACAAACTTTGTATTTGTGCTTATTTAAATGAACAAGCTGATCAATGAACTCTCAGCTCTTTGACACTTGACTTGAAGTTTTACATATTCATTCATTCTTTGGTCACGGTTGTCGGATCAAAAACAGAGTGACGTCATTGGCGTCATCCCTGTTGCAAGGACCTCTTAAAAACTAATTCACATTCTTTCGTTCTTGTACTGTTGCACTATTCGTTCTTATATTGTCGCAGTATGAGCTGAATACAGTTAACAAAAAACTAACTCGACCCGCAAGAATTAGTCTTGCTACGGCACTCAAGGCAAAGTTGCGTTCAGTTTACGGATGCTTGTTCGAGACATTTAAGTTGTCTCGCAGCCTTACTGATTATCACTGACTTCGGTGTTTTTGGCTTTGAAATCCTTTGTCTGGTTAACCACTAGTAACTCCGAACTGCGAAATATTGACAGTGAAGATCAAAAAATATATATATAATGTAATATATAATATTCAAAATAATGCAATTTATGCTAATTATTAATATTAGTGTAGGTAATCGTATTGAATTTTCAAATATCACGAGTAGTGTAAATCCTTAATTGCTCGAGCTTTCATACGATTACTCATTTATTATATGACTGAGAAAATTGCAAAAGCGCGCGCGTTAATTTGCACTGCAGTGCAAATCAAGAATTACGATACAATACACTACAATTAATGATAAATTGGCCTGCTCTCAACCAATCACGAAGTAATTTTTTCAGTCAAACAGTCGAAGCTGTCCTTGCGACCACTCTCGTAAGCGACCAGCTCTAGTTACGACTTCCTTTGTCAAACCCCGTTTGAACTGTGACTTAAACTTTGCAATGTAAAGTTCTCGTAAGCGACCGCAACCACTTTTTGGGATTACCCAACTGGACTTTTCCTTTGTTTTTAAGCTCTCAGTGTAAGCGACCACTCAGGGTCTTTTACATATAAATCAACACTTTTATGAAACTGCACACTGTGCTAATGGTTATTTTGGTGTAAAAAATTGAACGTAAAGTTTAGCTGTGTCTATATCAGATATAAAGGCACCAATTAAACCTTAATTTCTTTAATTTTTTTCTTTACGAATTATTAATGACTTTCTGAAGCGCTCGTAAGCGACCAGCCTCTCTTGTTTTACCATGCGGTCGCTTACGAGAGCTCATTCTTGTGACTTAGCGACCAGCTCTAGTTACGACCACTTTTTTCGAATTTACGAAGTGGTCGCTTACGAGAGCTTCGACTGTATAATAAACATCGAAACACGACGAAATAAAAATCAAGATTTAACATATTGCAAACACCTTTCTCTTTTAACATTTTTATTTTTATTTTATATTTGTTACTTAACCTCAGACCACACGAGTGTGGCTACCACAGGCATCACTTTTCAAAATTCCCTGACTTTTCCCTGACAAAAATAAGATTTCCCTGACCAAACTAACACAAAATGTCAGATCTAGAAGCGGCTTTCGGCCTCAACTTACAGCCGTCCTTTCAGCTCGTTCATTAGGACTAATAAGTTTTCAACAAATTTTCCTTCTTCATTGAGGAAAAATATAGTTCAGATCAGAATGTCCCCAAATATTCCTTCCAGCCTTCAATGGTATTAAATGAGGCTCCGTGTTAAATTATTTCAATTTTACCTGACTCAAAATAAAATTGCCTGACTTTTCCCTGACCTTGAAGAATTTTTTTCTCTGACCATTTTGACCTGTGGCAACCCTGTTAATTTCGTCAGGTCTCACTAACGTCTCCCATCAAATTTGAACTTTCCGTTGCCACTTTTTCCATGTGGGTCCCGGGGGTATGGGCATTTGATCACCTAGTACGACCCAAGGGTGGGGCATTTGAACAAATATCCTGACCCTGGGGATGGTAATTTGACCACAATTGAAAATGTTTGATGCCCAGGGGGGTGCCCCGGGGAGGGGATGTTGAAGTTTCGAATTGATTGATACGTTACTACTTTGGTTGCAGAAGGCGCCCTATGGCGGTGTTTCGACTGTCGCCCTGAAACTATTTAGACTACTTTTACTTGTGACACGGCCAATAAAACTACTATTACTACTTGCCAATTCTTGTGGTATTGAAAAGAACCCCCTAAGAGGTACCAAGATCCTGTTTTGTGGGCGTGGCTTGAGACGTTTTTAACCCCTGAAGGGGTGCCAATTCTAAAAAAAGAACACATGATCTCCTGTCAATTTTCTTTGGCTCAAATCCTATTAAAATCTACCTCGAAAACTCCCGTTGTGGACCCTTTTGAGGCTGAACACCCTTAGAGGTACCAAAACCACTTTTTTAACTCCTAAGAAGTACGACGGGCACCCCCGTCCTTTTTAAATGGGAGTTCCCCCAACCCCCTTCCGAGGTTAGAACTGTCAAGTGTAGAAAACTCGCCGTAGTCTGGTTTCCGTTCTCCATGAAACGCACATTTAACGCAATGGTTTTACAGAGGACGATTTTAAAAAACTGTGCGCACTAAGATGTATAACGCACGTGCAGGGCCATCGTTCCGCTCATCTGAAACCTTCTGTCTCTGGACGTTCCTGTTGCCATCATCGTGGTGGATTTTGTGAACTCTAATCATTCAACTTTTGTGTTTCTTCTAGGGTCTTTCTGATCCAACCGAGCCATGTCCCTAAACGAGTTTACGAGTAAAAGGCCACAGACAACGACTTGTCTGTAGATCAAGAACGGAGCACCAATGTAGGCTAACATTACCCATAAACTGCAGGAGGTTCCAGCCACTGAGACTGAAATTAAAAAGATAGGTTTAGGGACGTTACAACAAACAAGGTAGGTTGGTTAAGTATGCGTACGAGCCAAGTGGCCCATCAGGCCAGCGCTTATCCCGGTTTCTGCAGTATGAAGCGACTAGGAGTATTTCTACTCCCCCCTGGATGGGATGCTAGTCCATCACAGGGTTACCCCCAGCATTAATTAAGTTCGCCAGTACCTATTTATATATCTTAGACGGATATTTAAGATACGCTGGCAAGAAAGAATTACAAACAAAGAAGTCCTGAAGATGGCTGAGATGGAAAACCTCACTGAGGGCGTGCGAAAGAGAAGATGGAAATTCATCGNGAGAATAAAATCGACGTCTTCCAAAGCAGATGTCTTAGACGGATATTTAAGATACGCTGGCAAGAAAGAACTACAAACAAAGAAGTCCTGAAGATGGCTGAGATGGAAAACCTCAGTGAGGGCGTGCGAGAGAGAAGATGGAAATTCATCGGTCACATCATGAGGAAAGAACCAAATAATGACTGCAGAACTGCATTAACCTGGACCCCAGAAGGGCGGCGAAAACGGGGTAGACCAAAGACAACATAGAGGAAGACAGCAGAGAGAGAAAGGGAAAAAGCTGGATGGAAGAACTGGAGTGAGGTACAAATCGCAGCGGCTGACAGAGCTGGTTGGCGGGATTGTGTTGAGGCCTTATGTACCACATGGCACGAAGAAGATAGGTAACAGGTAACATTGCTCAATTCTGTTTTTTCAAATCCTGAGTAACTTATTTGCCTGGTCTTAGTCACTAATTAAGGATACTTTTAAGATTAAGATGACGTCAAACCTGTGAAGTTTTTGCTCTAGTTAATTTCCAAATTGAAGCACTTAAAATGAAAACTTAGCCGAACCGACAAAAATTGTAATATAGTGTATTGTAAGTTATGTATTGTCTAGCAATGTAATCTAGGTTGCTAACTGTTAGCAAGTGGTTTATTGTAAAACTGCTGCAAGTAATGTACCGTCAGAATTGTGTAGTAAGTAATGCGTTCGATTGTTAATGTTAATAAACATGTACCGTAAAACCAAAATAGCCATAACGACTATTACGTCATACTGACGTCGTCTCACTTTCGAAAACACATGGGGAATTGAAATTCTATTGTGAACCAGTGTCAAGGTCACCAAAATTATACTCTATTCTAGACCTAAACGCTCTGATATATGTACCCTATCCTAGAGTAAACTGCTTGAAAGCCATACCCTTCACAGCGGCACATACCTGTATTGCTGGTTTTCAGTGTCACGCAATTCAAAATAGATCAAAATAAATATTAAAACAGGGCAATAGATTAAGTCCAGAATCTGGGAAATGAAAGAAAGTAAATATGCAAAAACTTTCGCCAAAATTCTTGTCACAGCAATTTTTCNTGAGGAAAGAACCAAATAATGACTGCAGAACTGCATTAACCTGGACCCCAGAAGGGCGGCGAAAACGGGGTAGACCAAAGACAACATGGAGGAAGACAGCAGAGAGAGAAAGGGAAAAAGCTGGATGGAAGAACTGGAGTGAGGTACAAATCGCAGCGGCTGACAGAGCTGGTTGGCGGGATTGTATTGAGGCCTTATGTGCCACATGGCACGAAGAAGATAGGTAACAGGTAACAGTACCCATTTATACATGTGGGTGGAGAGAGGCACTGTGAGCAGTGTCTTGCCCAAGAACACATTACAATGTCCCAGGCCAGTGCTCGAACCCAGACCGCTTGAGGTCACTAACCATCAAAGATGAAAAATTTTTGCATACCTATTGGTCCAGGTGAAAAATGAAGGAGGTACAACATGGCCACACACAAGTCTTGACCAAATATGATCAGCGTCAAGAAGGGCTGTCATTGGTAAAGGAAATAAGATTTCAAAATAGAAAATACAATGCCTGGGGGAATACTACCTAAAAATATAGTTATAGTGGTAGTGGTGATGGTGTGTACATGTACGTGTGGGAGGGGGCATAGCGTGCTTATTGAAACCTTTACCTTATTACAGACCAAAATGTGTGACTTTCAAGTCCCTATCTTAAATACATCAAACACTGTGAGAGTTGCTCTCCTTTACAGCAAAAATCCATCATGGAAAAAAAAAATCATTACTTGATTGGGGACCCAAATAATGAATAAAAAGTTAAACTAGAGGGGGCTTTCTTGAAAAAAGCTTTGCATTAAACTCATCTTTGTTGAATTTTGCTACAGAACATCAATGTAGACATCAATTGATATGGAATCAATCAAAAGTTCAATACATGGATTCAAAAACTGGAATTAAATGATTCTCACATTGTACATATCTGAAATAATATAATTACATTATTACTAAATCACAAAATACAATGTGGACCAATCTATAGTTTGTTACTTCAAATTACAAGTACTTCTGTTCATTAAAAGATAGAAAAAATACATACAAAACGATCAATGAAAGTAAACGTTGATCTTACTTCCCGAAAGAAAATCCTCATCAACCAGGGATCGTAACTGCACATCTTCTTTTGCAAAATACTATTTGGTTGTGTCATCAAGGTACACCTATTGTGAGTTTTAAAAAAATATTTTAATCAAACAAAAGAATTGTTCCTTCCCTATCATCAAACTAAGTGCTGTATTAGCCTGAAATAACTCAGCTATTTTAAAAAGTTATAAAGGTTCCTTTGGAAAATAATATTTTCAAACATGGTTATTTCCAGAAATAAGCTAGAAACAAATAACAAACTGGTCTATATACCTGTAATGATTTGAAAAACACCCTGCTACCTCTAAGCAGACAAGCAACTGAAGAACAAACAAGTACTGAGGGTAACACACACACAATGCCATCATCATTCCTACTCTTCCGCACCTGTCAATCACAACAAGGTACTAAGGACTATATTCTCATCTCAGAATTTGCCACTAAATTATTTTATGCAAATTGCCACTTACTAAATTGACAATTTTGTCACACCTTTTTGCTTCTTGTGTGAGTTAGTGTTACTCAGTCATATTCAAAAGATTTTGTGGCATTAAATAATCGGAATCAATATTTCAATAACTTACCACTGACAACAAAATCATCAGATTGTGTTGGTTTGACTCCCTCCTCCTGGGAATTCCAGTTATTTCAGCTTGATAATTTCTTGTTGTGTAGTACTAGAAAATATCCAATACCTCCTCCCCCCACCCCCACCCCTATGGAAATATTCTAATTGAGCTTCATATGTTTCTTCAAATTTTTTGGTCTTGCAGACCCCCCGCCCCCCACCGACCATTGCCAGAGAAAACCTAATCCCTTCTGCTCCAATCCTTCTGTAGCAGGGGGGGGGGGGGGGGNTTTTTGGCTCTGAGGGCCCCTTTGTACCCTCCTATGCTTACATTCTTTTGGCTCACCATGCTCATCATCCTCTGTGAAAGGAGAGCTTGAATGAAGAGTCCAGAAACAGCGTCTGACTAAGAGGCTAGAAACCCCGACCCTGATATGGATATTTTCTGGACACCCCATTGACCATTCATCCATAGAGTTATGAAAATCATAATGTCACCTCTCCCTTAGACAGACTGTTGGGACCGGCCTGAAATGTCTGCCTTAGAGAGCTGTCCAGCTCATAGAGAGCCGAGATAAAGCTTAACCTACATGTATGCACAATTTATAAATTTGTACATGTCTGTCATATACACAAAAACTGGTCTCAAAAAGGTCTGACATATATTTATGTAATTATTATTAATAATGATTTTCCTTGCATTGATCTCTGTATGTGTCTAAGCATTGTACTTGACAAAAATGTATCTAATAACAATTATTATTGTAATAAGAAATTAGTTACTGATCATACTCGAAATGATTATTTAAAGAATAAATTATATCTATACCTGTCCAAAAGAAAATCAAGCAAATCTCCAAATCTGGAACCTTGCATAAAACAAGAAAGGTTCTTCATTGAGTTTCAAGTATTGCAAATCAGAAGATGAGGGGTATTTTTTTGTTACAGGCTACAACTTATAAGATATACCAGAAATGAAAATGAAGAGCAAAATTGTTGAAATTTAATAGCAAATATATTTTAATTATTTGTCTATTTATTTTTATATTTATGAATAATTAGTTGTCATTGAAATACATAGCATGTGCTGCATTAATAACACAGTGCCATACATTACACAAGAGTAATACGCCGGTAAAAATACTAGTTTTCATCAAAACTTTAACAGATTTGTATGGAGCACGATATTGTTGAACAACACAACTAGACGGAAAATGGTTCTTGAGCATGATGACAGCAATCAGTGATCGCCTAGTCTTTATATGCCTACAGGGGGCAGAGTGGTGTGTTTTCTAAGAGTTTTGCTGAGGTATTTCATTTAAGAAACTGCTAACAGTTTTCTTAGTAGTGTTAACAAAATTTAAGTCTTGCTTGCACATCTCTATAGTAAGTGGCTTATTGCAATTGTTCAGCTCCAGAAATTGTGTGCTCTCTGCAGAAAGAAATGACTACTCAGTTACAATGAGTGTACTAACTGCATCTCCCTCAATGAATGCTAGTACATCACAGATCACCCACCCCAACCCTCTCCCCCTGGTCCATGGAGGATCAAGAGACTGCTATTGAGACAGACAAGTCACTTAAATTTAAAAAAAATAATGAAAAATCTGATTTTCCCCAGATAAGACCGGGTAGCGCAAAGGAATCCAGCAAGATTAACCATAGTTTAACAAACCGCTTTCTGGCACTCATTTACCGGTATTTCTTTTACTTACACTGTTTGAGATACCGTGCGGACACTCCATCAGCAACATCTAGGAATATTCCACCAGTAAAATGAAGAGCCACGGTAAGAAGTGGCTTGTGCAAGATGAAGTAGAAGGCAGATAAATTAAGAACAATACGTATGTAACCTATGCAAAAATGAAACTGACATTTTATATATACTATCAGTACATTAACACATTTAGCTGTTTACTAATTAAAATCATTCAAGGATCTTCAAGGTCTTTGCGAGGATACATGCACATCATACTGAAGATAACTGAAAATCTAAATGAAATCTCTGGACAAAAGACATTCACAGATCTAGCTAGAGTTTGATAAACATTGCCAAAGAATCTTCAAAACTCTTCCTGGACCTTTGTGAAGATCTTTCAGGCAGGTTGTAATCATATCCAGGATCTTTCAATTCACCATCAAACAACGGCACTCTACTATCCCTGATAAATCCATATCTTTAAGCCCCTGTACTAGAGAGGTACATATATAAGTGGGGGGGTGTCTACTGATTAGAAATGCCTCTGCAAGGGGTACTTTGTATGTATTAGGTCATCAGGAGACCTAGAGGTCTTCTGCAAAGGAAAAGGGACCTGATAATATATACAAGTTCAATGACGCAAGTGGAACTGTTATGAGGTACTAAACACCAGACATACAATACATGTAATATAGGGTTAATATATAAATTTGTGTTCTAGATCTAAGGCAAGACACTTTATCTCAGAGTGCCTCTCTCTGCCCAGGTATGCAAATGAGTACCCGCAAATTTCATTCTGGGGATAACCCTGCAATGGCCTGCATACCATCTAGAGGGAGTAGAAATATTTCTATGGCTAGTTGCTTCATGCTACAGAAACTGGGATAAGCTCCAGCCTGATGAGCCCCTTGACTCGTATACAGACTTTACCAATATATGCTTACTCTGGGTTACTTTTGTTTTTCGTCCTGCAAGTCTTGGGTGGTTGTGACACATGTATGAAAGGTGTGTTGCAACTTCTGTTTATATATGGGGACCTCCCAGGGCTTTTATGGAACAAGGGAACCTGATCATTTATTTTCTAGGGAACAAGGGATATTCTGGGATTAATTTTAGTGAACAAGGGATATATCTACAAATTTATTAAAGGGAACTTTGACAAAACATTTTAGGGAACAATAGAATTTATTAATGGGAAACAAGGGAGAAAAAGAGAACTTTTTAAAGGATCAAGGGACCATGCTACCTCCCTCTCTCCCGCCCTCCCCCGTCAGCCCCCTTCCGACCCAAGGATGCCCTCATATATTACCTTCTTATCCTGGTACCAGGTTCCTATTAATTCTGGGAGGGGCGAGGTATACAAAGAAGAGCGGAAGGGGTTAAGCTCAATTAAAAACATAAAACAACCTGGCCATTCTTTTTTTTTCTGGGAAATCGGAATTTGTCTTGGATTGTAAAACGCCGATTTTTGACAGCCGGGGCCAGGTCATAAAGTGCTGTATACCGACCGTCCCCTGCAAGTTTATGATGGATACCGGCACGATATTTACCTCTCTGTATAGGGTGTTACCTGAGCTTTTTCAAAGAATATTTCTCACTCACCTATTACGTTAGGAACATAGAAATAAACCTTGTGCATGGCTGCAGATGTCTGATGACAACTCAGTCAACGGTCAACGTTTCCCGGAATGTCCACTACTTTGTGATGTAAACGTGACTCCTTAGTCTGCGGTTTGAAAAATTAAAGCGATATAGAAAGGGGAGAAACTGAAAGAGCACCGCACATTAATTTACCTAAACATATAATATTCATGAGTGTCATCACTACCTTAGCTGCGTGAAACGCATAAAATTCATGAAAATCCAAACTGTCCGAAGAGCCCTTCATCCTTTTGGTCTGCGTTTCGTTAACGGACCAATAGATACGCAGTGTAACAATCATTAGAGTGTTCAGGTTTCATCACTTTTTCGGCAGTGCAGAATAGTAATTAGGCCCGGGTAGCACTAGAGCCAATTTTGTTTGCTTAAAATATTTCCAATTTTTGGCGAGGAAAAAACATTGGCAAAAATTTCGCAAGTTCCAAATTTTGGCAGTGGTCGCATTAGGCCAACATGCTGGAACCAAAACGTTGGTGACTAAAATATACTTAACAATAT